TTATACACAAACGATAGCGCTCGATTTTCTCTCGATTAATTAATTTCCAATAAGTACACATCTCTCGTTGTCCAGTTTATGACGTCGTCAAGGTACCAGGTCCAGCCTAGATATTTTCCCATGAACTGAAAATGAAATAACGTTAGAAACGGCACCAACACTAAGAGCTGTTGAACACGTAGAGGTGCTGATGGGGAGCACAATATCGTCATGTCGTGACGAGTCGGAACTGATCTGATGATGCCACGTGGCCGGAGGAGCCACGACGGGCTCGGGTCGGTTGAGTAATTTCTCTCAGGTTGCAACTGTGTACCAGCGGCGAATTGTGAAACCGCGATGATTAGTTCAATTTTTTCGCAGCCTTTGAGAGTTTTCCGTTCATGATTCACTACTCCCTGTTGGTAGAATTTGCTCACAGATGTTCAAGCACGCCTTGGTGCAAAAAAAAAACTAAAGGCGACAAATTTGCACAAATTGAGCAAAATTATCACTAATTAGTCTTGTAGAACCTGGGCCAAATGTACAATCAAATTCCGATTGCTCGATTGATTGATTTGATTAGAATCATTGCAAGCAGAACGACACAGACTACCTTTCTGTAATAAAACATTTTAACTTACTTGATAACTGACACTCGAACAAATTGAAAGTGTGGAGTACCGAAGAAACTTATTGGTTTCTTTAAACACGGGCTTAAATTCGTGTTCGCTTTCGGGATAGCGAGCTCATTCTTTTGCGCATGAAAATGAAACGAGTGCACTCAGACGAACTGCTAATACAAGCGGTACGAAAGATTGCCTGTTGCTTCCTCAGTAATAGTTCTTACATTTCTAAACACCAGTCTAAAAAATAAACAGCCTTTTATTGCCATTTTAGGAGCTGTGCTCAAATCAATCAGTGTATAGAATTCGACGTCTGAAGCATAGTCGTGCTGGCGGGCAGCGACCACATGAGTTTTCGGAAATTTCTGCAGTTTATGATATAATAATCACCATACGTTAATAATGTGATTACCATGCGAAGTGAAGTGAAATATTGGATAAAGCTTACATATTATCAAAAAAAATCAAAAAGGTTGTGAAATATTCTAAAGGGTGGTGTAGCTAACGATAAACGTTCCGCCATTTGAAGACATCAATCACTTACACATAAAGGAGAGTTCACTTACCTTCATTGGTGGAACCAAGCGACTCCGTCCCGGTTTCGATATCCACAAATATCAAGCATGGTCAAGCTTGTTAAAGAAAACACTTCGGTTTCGAACTTTTAAGACTATTGCGAGATTTTAACTTATCATTTACTTCCCGCTCTTTTTCTCATGAGAGATAGGCGAAACGGAGGACCCGCATGGTGTGGTGTTGAACGCGTTGCTCCCCGGATAGGAAAATAGCGTGTTCGTTCTCCACCGCAGACACCTGCGGTCCGGAGTTTGCAAATACCTCAGCATTGCTGTGGTTGTATTTCGTCTAATAACCTGCCTTGAAAGTTGTAGTAAACAGAAAATGAAAAGTAAACACTGTGGATGATATTAGTTACAAAATAACTTTTACTGCCCCCATGAACGATGAAGCGCGTATCGCGCAGTGGTCGGAGGCGCCTGCAGAACACATGAGATCGATCCGCGCACCCAAAACTCACCAGGCCCTTCATATCTCCTGAGTCGGCAGTTTCGTACTCGACTTCTCTGGTAGGGTGATAACACTGGCTCAGTACATTGCTAGGCCACAATGAGTTATTGTGAAGGCCGCATATGCACTCAGTTGCGAATCCCTCAGGCATTGAACAACGCCCACCAACTGTATACTTTGTCTTTTATCTATCAACGCTCCGCCAGTAACTGGTATGTTAGTGATTTGCACGATTTCTGTTTTTGATATTCAGAGAAATTCATGCTATAGCACTGCATGCTTGTAGTCGCTCGTGATCGTCTATCCTTATGGTTCGCGAAGTGGTTTGCTACCTTGAGCTTGGCTTCTTTTAGGACGACAGCACTCGTAACGTTCGGTACCCTTTGACTTTTGGTTGAAAATGTGGCAGTGCTCGGGATCTATGGTGCTGCTCATGCTTTCCTACAAAAAGTCGATTCTGCCTTTCCACCCTCGTTGTGTATTGCTTAGTTGTTTCAGATCTACGTTGAGAAATGGTTTCTTCATCTGATATAGGCATATCGTCATTTTTCTTCAATGCTGGTGATTCAGGTTTGGCGAAGCAGTTTTAGCACATTTGTGGCGATTCTTGTTCCTCAATACTTTTTAATTCTTGGTGGTTTTGACGATTCTAGAAACGTGCTACAAACATCGTCCTATCGAATCATCTCAATATTTGATTCATCTAGAGTGTACTCTTCAAAAGATCTTTCTTTCCGATCTTCTTTGCAAGGAAATTTTTTTCAAAATTATAATTAGAATATTGCTTACCTAATCCTAAGTTACTTGGATGGCTCGTATTCAGGACTAATGCGAAAAGCAACATATTTTGCACTCATTTAGATTTAGCGCGGTGTTTGTCTATGGCTATGCTTTGTTTGGAGCATGCCAACGTATCTGAGTGTCATTCAATGGTCCGCAAGTGACTTGAACATGTCTATACAGTTTGTCTATACGGACAAAAAAGACGTCCGATCACCTTTTAGATGGTCGCTCTCGAAGATCTTCGTTCCTTAATTTTGGAGTGGGCCGACCATGTAACACTTCTTCTCTTTCAAAAAGGTGTTAGTCTACATTTCAACAGTAAATTTGAAAACTGGGAGGACCGCCGCGTCAAAGTTACGATTGCGGCACTTCCTCTCCATCAGTTGTTCAATGCGAGGCTGGTATAGGTCTTCGTTGTCGTTGTTGCTCCTGTACTGTTCGTGTTGTAGGTCGATGGTTGACGTTTCGGCGATTTCGCCTTCCTCAGAACCTGGACGTATTTTATACAAGAATACTTCAATTATGCGCTGAAAAAAAGGCTGAGTATTAATGAAAACCGGACTTTTAAATTGACGCCATATCGATCAGAAAGGCTACTCATCGTGATGTTAAGTGTGGGACTGGCCCACACGTTGTTCACACAGGGTCGCGAGCGAGACACAGCGAAGGGTCAAAATATCATTTTGAAATAGGGCGCCATTTCATGCGTGATAGTGAGGCATTCGTCTTTCCGGTTCATCTTTGGATTTTTGAAATTTATCCAAAATGCCTCAAGAGTTTTGCACGTTGATGTTTTTGATTTCTGCGCTAGGATCCCCACAGTCACATCAAAATCATCGACGTTGTGCTTTTGTGCTATATGCGTACCTAGAGGAGTGTTTTGACGAATTTTAACTTTCCCATCTAGATGTTCTTTCATGAAGACACAAAGTAGTCTACCCATTTTCTCAATATATTCCTCACCACATGCGTTACATGAGATCAAGTATATTATACCTCAACTCATGCAATATCCGTCTCTCCCGTTAGGACAGATCGTACGGTTTTCTGAGCTGCACAAACGGTCATAGAGACGGTTTCGAACTAACTGACGGCGTAGGGTATTGGGTGGGATGTCAATGATCGTTAAGTAATTTCCATGGCCACTTTTTCTTAAGCCTCTCTTAATGGCACAACTTACTTCATTTGATGTAAAGCGTAGCTTAAAAGGGATTTTACTTGCGTCCGAAACATTATTTTGGAGAACTACCTTACGTTTTTGTCTAACCTGAGTGGATTCTAATTCGTAGCCATTGGAAATGGCTATTTTTCGTGCCAGATTTAGCGATTACTTCATTTTCTCCTCTCCTCTACACACATTTTTAGCCGAACGGTACATTTTTTTGCTAAGTGCTTTTTTCATGTGTGAGGGATGACAGGAGTGGTAGTGAACTAGCTTACTACTTGGCTTATGATTCTACTTTGTTATATAGCCACTTTCTGAGAGCTTCATTTCGATGTTTAAGAAAGGAAACCAGTTCTCGGTTGGTTCTTTCCGTGTAAATTTTAGGTACTCTGATTGTCGGTTTAATAATTCATAGCACTCATCCACCTGTTCATATGTGGAACAGACGATGAAACAGTCGTCTATGTATCTACAATAGAGTAAGAGTTCGCGATCGAAAACTGTAGTTTCAACCTTAGACATGAAAGCGAAGGCAAGGCTTGATGCTAAACGCTGTCCCATGGCCAACACTCTAAATTTACGCGAAATATTTTCGGGACCTCCTAAAGATTGATCAACTAAGACACTGTTGTAAGAGAGTCATTAGGTGCGCGATCGCCAAGGCGTACATTTCTATTTTATTCTCGTGCTCTACGAGCAAGTCGAGAATGGCTTGCTTTGCTGAGTCATTCGACACGTTCTTATAAATTGACGTAACATCGAATGACTCCATTAAATGCGCGCGTCGTAGGTGATATAGAAAAACACTTTGGTGTTAGATAGATAGGTTGGAATGAATTTCAGCAACTGGGACACGATAAGATTTAAGAACCTCGTTATTCTATCCGTCGGCCCGCCTAAACAACTAATGATAGGTCTAACTTTAAATGATGGATAGGTTCGTTGATGTGATATCATTAGTTGAAGTAAGCTTATGTGTTTTAATAAGCAAATAAAGGACAAGGCAAATCGGGTGTCCAAAAAAAACCTGGAGGCTTAAATTGCGGCTTCCAGTCCTAAGGAATTCGGCGGTAATAATTATCGGGTCCTGGAACTGTCCCTCTTTTTATGCTTTCCATTGCAACTCGAACCTCCGACGGAGGAATTCCAGGTGGTTGTTCTCCAGCGGGGATATTAGGGCTCGAGACAGAGATTGTAGAACGGAAAAGGTTGGTGTGGAACGTTTCCACTATTAATTCCATATCATGGCAGAAAGTTTTGACGATCCCATCTTCGTTCATCAAAGCTGAAAGCAGAACATTTTAATCACACAAGTCCTGACGGCATTTTTTCAGGCTGCTTTTTTTCTCTACTGCTTCCTCCTCCTGCTTGTACCGTTGTAGATCTTCCTGCGAAGCTTTTCTGCAACTGGCATTTATTACTTGCTATGTTGAACGTGTTACAGTAGGATCGAGTTTCAGTTTCCTTCTCTTTTCGAACAATTCCTTAGTAGTGATGGAGATGCGATCCGGTTTTCTTGCTTGAGAAACTGAGGCAAATTCGGCACAGCGTTTCAGTCCTTCGACAAGCAGCTCGTAGTCTTCGGTCGGGTCTTCTTTAATCCGCCAGTCACGTTTGGACAGAACTTCGTTTAGAATTTTCTCGTCGTATACAGCTAGACTTTTTCCTCGTGGTCGATGAAGAGAGTTCTTTTCCAGCTTGCGGCTGAATCGAATTTTCGCGCGAACAAGGCGGTGATCGGTGCCGGTACAGCATGACAGGACTACCGATGTGTCAAGTAGGCACCATCTTCTATTTGCTAAAATACGGTCGATTTCTGCATGAGTTATGCCGTTGGGAGAATCCTATGTATACCGCCGGCTTTCCTTTTTTGGAAAAACGAGCTTCCATGGAAGAGGCGTGCTGCTGACAAGAGTTCTGCAAGACGGTTTCCATTCCCATTTCTTTCTCTTAATCCAAAAATTCCGATCCTATATTCGCTCTTGTTCGCCTTTCCTATTCTGGCGTTTCAGTCTCCAGCAACAAATTTATGACACGCTTCATCATTGCGGATGACTTCCTCCAACTGATAGTAAAACGCATTTAATTCGTTCTCATCAGCTACGTCGGTCGGTGAGTAGCAGTTGATGACAGCGATTTTTTTTATAATGCGACAGTTGAATACGGAGGACGGTTATGCGAGGGGAAAGGATTTCGAATGAGTCGACGAGATGAACAATGGACGGGTGGACGACAAAGCCTACGCCGCCGACATTTCGTGACTGGACCTTTTCTCTACGGATCACAAGGGTCCCTGTGTTTAGTTGGCCTATGTCGGTCTTCTTCATTTTTGTTTCTTCTAGTGCGATTACGTGAAATTTAATGCGATCTGCGGCTACAAAAAGAGCGTGAAGATCGGCGTCTGTAGAGTCTGTAGAGAGTGTTTTGGCATTATATGTGCATAGTAAGAAACAATCTCCATGGCGTGTCGTGCTTGTGTTCGTCAGATCCGGTTCCAATGACTTCCTTCGTAACCCGAAACTTTCTGGCCTCTTACTGGTCGTTTCACCGCCTAACGTCATAAACGGAAACATCCAGTGTGCGTGGTACTGAAGCTGGCTTATTGCTGGTCGTGCAACTTGGCCTTCCCTGGAGTCCCGACGTAACCTTGCAAGGGCGTATACAGGTCTTCACCATGATAATGATCAGAGGGCGGTGTGTTTTCGGCGTCGAATCCTTCGCTCGGCCTTCCTACTAGTTGATTCGGAGAGATGCTGAAAATCAAACTCGTGTAATTTAGTTGCATCATAAATCAATTGCAAATAACCAGCTTCTTCCTCATTCTCACTCCATGTAGCGTACCTTTTCTATTTGTTTGTTTTGAAGTGACCACCTAGTCT